AAAAACTGAAACCATTCCCTCTAAAATCAGGAACCAGACAAGGATGCCCACTATCTCCACTCCTATTCAACATAGTACTGGAATTCCTAGCCAGAGCAATTAGGCAAGAAGAAGGAATAAAAGGAATACAAATAGGTAAAGAAACTGTCAAAATATCCCTATTTGCAGACGACATGATCCTATACCTTAAAGACCCAAAAAACTCTACTCAGAAGCTTCTAGACATCATCAATAGCTATAGCAAGGTAGCAGGATATAAAATCAACATAGAAAAATCATTAGCATTTCTATACACTAACAATGAGCAAACTGAAAAAGAATGTATGAAAACAATTCCATTTACAATAGCCTCAAAAAAAATCAAATACCTAGGTGTAAACCTAACAAAAGATGTGAAAGACCTCTACAAGGAAAACTATACACTTCTGAAGAAAGAGATTGAGGAAGACTATAGAAAGTGGAGAGATCTCCCATGCTCATGGATTGGTAGAATCAACATAGTAAAAATGTCGATACTCCCAAAAGTAATCTACATGTTTAATGCAATTCCCATCAAAATTCCAATGACATTCATTAAAGAGATTGAAAAATCTACTGTTAAATTTATATGGAAACACAAGAGGCCACGAATAGCCAAGGCAATACTCAGTCAAAAGAACAATGCAGGAGGTATCACAATACCTGACTTCAAACTATATTACAAAGCAATAACAATAAAAACAGCATGGTACTGGCACAAAAACAGACATGAAGACCAGTGGAACAGAATAGAGGACCCAGATATGAAGCCACACAACTATAACCAACTTGTCTTTGACAAAGGAGCTAAAAATATACGATGGAGAAATAGCAGCCTCTTCAACAAAAACTGCTGGGAAAACTGGTTAGCAGTCTGCAAAAAACTGAAACTAGATCCATGTATATCACCCTATACCAAGATTAACTCAAAATGGATCAAGGATCTTAATATCAGACCCAAACTCTAAAGTTGATACAGGAAAGAGTAGGAAATACTCTGGAGTTAGTAGGTATAGGTAAGAACTTTCTCAATGAAACCCCAGCAGCACAGCAACTAAGAGATAGCATAGATAAATGGGACCTCATAAAACTAAAAAGCTTCTGTTCATCAAAAGAAATGGTCTCTAAACTGAAGAGAACACCCACAGAGTGGGAGAAAATATTTGCCAACTATACATCAGACAAAGGACTGATAACCAGAATATATAGGGAACTTAAAAAACTAAATTCTCCCAAAACTAATGAACCAATAAAGAAATGGGCAAGTGAACTAAACAGAACTTTCTCAAAAGAAGAAATTCAAATGGCCAGAAAACACATGAAAAAATGCTCACCATCTCTAGCAATAAAGGAAATGCAAATTAAAACCACACTAAGATTCCACCTCACCCCTGTTAGAATAGCCATCATCAGCAACACCAACAACAGTGTGGCGAGGATGCGGGGAAAAAGGAACCCTCTTACACTGTTGGTGGGAATGTAAACTAGTACAACCACTCTGGAAAAAAATTTGGAGGCTACTTAAAAAGCTAAACATTGATCTACCATTTGATCCAGCAATACCACTCTTGGGGATATACCCAAAAGACTGTGACACAGGTTACTCCAGAGGCACCTGCACACCCATGTTTATTGCGGCACTATTCACAATAGCCAAGTTATGGAAACAGCCAAGATGCCCCACCACTGACGAATGGATTAAGAAAATGTGGTATCTATACACAATGGAATTTTATGCAGCCATGAAGAAGAACGAAATGTTATCATTGCTGGTAAATGGATGGAATTGGAGAACATCATTCTGAGTGAGGTTAGCCTGGCCCAAAAGACCAAAAATCGTATGTTCTCCCTCATATGTGGACATTAGATCAAGGGCAAACACAACAAGGGGATTGGACTTTGAGCACATGATAAAAGCGAGAGCACACAAGGGAGGGGTGAGGATAGGTAAGACACCTAAAAAACTAGCTAGCATTTGTTGCCCTTAACGCAGAGAAACTATAGCAGATACCTTAAAAGCAACTGAGGCCAATAGGAAAAGGGGAACAGGTACTAGAGAAAAGGTTAGATTAAAAAGAATTAACCTAGAAGGTAACACCCACGCATAGGAAATCAATGTGAGTCAACTCCCTGTATAGCTATCCTTATCTCAACCAGCAAAAATCCTTGTTCCTTCCTATTATTGCTTATACTCTCTCTACAACAAAATTAGAAATAAGGGCAAAATAGTTTCTGCTGGGTATTGGGGGGGTAGAGGGAGGGGGCGGAGTGGGTGGTAAGGGAGGGGGTGTGGGCAGGGGGGAGAAATGACCCAAGCCTTTTTGTATGCACATATGAATAATAAAAGAAAAAAAAAAAAAGAAAAATAAATACAAATACCAAATCTAAACTAATAATACTAACATCATGCTATAATTTTCTGGGGTTTTTTTTCTTTTCTTTTTCTTTCTTTTTTTGGCAGAACTATAGGGTGAACTCAAGGCTTTGTGCTTGCAATGCAGTGGTGCTCTACCACTTGAGCGACTCTCCCACTTCATAATTTTTCTTTTCTTACTTAACAAATATATTTTGGCATTTAACTGTCATACATGAAGCTTTACTTCATTCTTTTCAAGGTGTGCATACTCTTCCATTATATATACACTCTATAAATAATAAAGTCTTTCTTCTGTTAAGATTTGAATAGGTGACAGAATGTCATTTTTCATTTACCACATTAAAATATCATATTATATATGTTGCAGCAGTTGGTATCCTTATGTCTCTTTTATTTTCATTCCTGTATCTTTATAACATTTCTGTATTTGGAGCTACTAGGGCAGTGGATATGTTTGTTTTGTTTTGATCCATATTGCCAAACTAATTTCTAAGATTCTTTGACAGCAAATCCTTCTAAAATAGATACTATAGGGCCTTATCTGTCTTTTAAAGTCTTTGCTGATTTGAAGTACTTCATTCATGGCAAATTTAATTATATAAGATATTGAGAATTTTCTAAATTTTTTATATGAGGTAGTTGTTCATATCCATTGAAAAGTTTTATTCTGAATCAAAGTGATCTGTAAGAATATTTTAAGTAAATATTAATAGTTATGGATCTTTCTTTGTAATAATCTTTAATTAATATACTTTTGAGTTATTTTTTCTCTGTCATAGTTGGATCTTCCAATTTCCATTTCGTGATTTTTTCTCTCCTTAGATACCATCTGGGTGTGAGGAATGTGGGAAGCATAGATTATACACAACTTTGTGATACTGAACAGGAAAACTTGGATACTGTGTTCTGAACTCCTATTGAACCTTCTGTTTGTATTGGCCTTTTGCTGTAACAACTGGAAATGAAATGGACTTTACCTCGAATTGAGAACAGATGAAAAACACTGCTCACTTTTAGCCTTGCTGCTTCTTCCTATTAGGAAGTGATAGGCTTTCCACTTTCTCTTTCTTTCTAGAAGGAATATAACTTAAATTATATCTTCCTTTTTCCAGGAATAGTAATCTATTTCCAGGGTCAACCTTAACAACAGATAAACCACAGAAGATATTATAAAAATGTTTTTTTTTTGAAAAATCATTTCTGACTCTTTTCTCAACTATTAATTGCTAAAGGAAAATGGATATATTTGAGTAAGTACATCATGTAGAGTCTTGGTAAGAGTTGATGTTATGTAGGATAGAACAATCAGTATAGGGGTAGTAATGACAGGATGTAACAGATACTTAGAGAGTGAATACTTGTATAGGAAAATTGTTTAGTGGATGTGGAAAAGGTTTGTATATGAGGAAGATATTATTAAGGAAGAATTAAGGTTTCTAGATGGAGAAATTGATTGTGTTGACCTATCATTTGCTGAGCTGGAAACATCATAAAAGGAACACAGTTGATGTAATATAAAATAGATGGGAAAGTTTGGAATATGTTGAGTTGGATGAAACTGTGGCTTTTCTAAGTGAAGATCATAGGCTTAAGGATAACCAATTCCAAAATGAAGAAGAGACAACAGTCTTTAAAGTCATAAATATCAGAATGTTGAACATAGGAATCACCTTTACAATCACAATGTTTGTGTAAATAATCCAGGTGGAGGTTGTCCACCAAGAAAGCAGTATGTGAGGATAAAACTGCAGCATTCCAATACTCCAGGGAGAGATAAAAAGAAAAATAAGTGTCACTGAAGCTAGACAAAAAGAGTTGCATATTATGTCACAAAACAGAAGAGTTTTGGAAGAAAAACTCAAGTGTTTCAATGAAGTCTTACAAGAATGAGTCAAAAATAGATCTGACGGGAACAAGAACACATTATATACTGTACCCTAGGAAAAAACTTAACCCTTAAATTTTAAGGAGGAATGTTCTTTGCCTTCTCTTTATGTTGATGAACTCTTCCACAGCATTAAGGAGAATCAGGGCAGATGTTTCATTGTGGAGGGAGAGGCAAGGAAGAAGAGATACTGCATGGTCTCCTTAGGTTTTAGACGTTCATCTTGCCTTTATTAAGTCCCTTGTTCCCTGTAGAGTAGTTATTCCAGTTCTCCAGGGCTGGAATTTCACATTGAATTTCACTCCAAATCTCTCAGTAGTGGATATCTACCTAACTTTCTATCTTTTTTTTGATGTTAGTACTGGGGATTGAATCCAGGCATTCTGGCATGACAGGTAAGTTCTTTACTGTTGAGCTGCATGGCCAAGCTCCATCGTTGCCTGATATTATTTTATGCATACATTTTCTTAGAAATTTCCTGGGTTGCTGACACATAGGTAGGACTGATTTCAGTTATATAGCTTATGTCTCAAGGAAAATATTTTAAATACCATAATTTTAAATGAACTGAACATTTCTCAGATATTTATTAGTAAAGAGAACAAGGACAATTGATCATTTCCTAGAACTAAAGTGAGGGATGACATGGGAGAATCTGCACAACATTGTAACAATCAGTCATAAAATTTTTATTTTCAGTCAATGTGACTCATCCAATCCATGTCCATAATGGCCTCATTCAACTTGAGCAGCCTCAATGCAGGCTTCTTCATCCTACTGGGAATCCCAGGGCTGGAGCAGTTCCACATCTGGATCGGGTTTCCCTTCATTAGCTACCTTGCAGCCCTTGCAGGAATTGGTGTTCTTCTTTACCTTATTTTCAAGGAGCAGAGCCTCCATGAGCCCATGTTCTTTTTCCTCTCCATGCTGGCTGCTACAGATCTCATCCTATCTAATACATGTGTACCAAAAACATTCAGCATCTTCTGCTTGGGTCCTCAGGAAATCTCATTTCCTGGATGTCTTATTCAGATGTTTTTTCTCCACTACAGCTTTGCCATGGATTCTGCTATCTTGATTGTCATGGCATTTGATCGCTATGTTGTTATTTGCTTCCCCCTAAGATATACCACCATTCTTACCCATCAGACTATTACTAAGATTGTGATGGGTATCATCAGTAGGAGCTTTTGTATCATCTTCCCTTGTGTGTTTCTATTAAAGCGACTGCCTTTCTGCCAAACACTCATCATTCCCCACACGAACTGTGAACACATAGGAGTTGCCAGGCTTGCCTGTGCTGACATCTCCATTAACATCTGGTATGGCCTTGTTGTACCTATCATGACTGTTATATCAGATCTGATCCTCAAAAACACAGGTGTGTAGGTGGTACACACCCATGGATCCCAGCACTTAGAGTGGCTGAGGGCTCTTGAGAAGGCTTGGGCTGACACATGTCTTACTTGTAATATGAAAGAAAAAAAAAATGAGGCTCAGCATTCAGGAGCCTGGACAGGGTGGTTGGTTCTGCATCTCATGCCTTGGGCTTACAAACTCAACTGAAAAATCCCTGATAACCTTATAAAAGAGGGAGAAAAACATGAATCTGATCTTTAAGTCAATGATTTTCTAACTCTTCTTTCTTACTTGTAGTGGCTATCAAAGTCACCTGAAAGACTTGGTAAAAATGCAAAATCTAGGCTCGATCTTATTTTCGTAGACTGCTATATTTTTTTTTTGTACTGGAGGTTGAACTTAGGGCCTCATAAATGCTAGGCAGGAGCTCTACCACTTGAGCTATACTTCCAAACCTCTTTGCTTTAGTTATTTTTCAGATAGGGACATGCTCATAGCTGGGGTTAGCCTTGGACTGTGATCCTCTTACTTGTGCTTCTGCATAGCTGGGTTAACAGATATGAACCACCATACCAATCTTATTTGTGGAGTGACATCTTGCTTACTTTTTGCCATATAAGAAAAGTCCTGCTCTTGAAAATCTCATAAACTTGGTTCTTATCATTTTCTGACTTTAAAAGTAACACAGCTCTTTATGCCCCACATAGTGCTTCCTGACAAACTGTAGTCATTTCATCTAAAACTCTCACCTTTAAATCTCATAGCATCAAAACATGTTATTCACGAGACTTTTGCTGGGCTGCCCTGCCACCACACAAGCTGGATCAGCTCAGCATTCAACCCCATCCCCACTAGACAGAGGTGAAATTTTCCCTCCATTTATGGCCATTAGTTTTGTCCAGGGGGCGCGAAGAGGTGCAATCTACCCACCAGCCATGCTGGACTATGTGGCTCCCTCCAGAGCAGATCATGCTCTGTGTAATTATCTTAAACAAGCAAAAATGTCGTTTATTTTCTTTCTGTTATGAACTCAAAGAACACAGGGGCAGAACAAGTCCTGCCTGGGGAGTAGTACCGGTGGGAAGGGGGAGGTGGTGGGGAAAGAGTATAGGAGGATGAATATAGTGCAAATCCTGTGTATACGTGTATGTAAATGGAAAAATGAGACCTGTCAAAACTATTCCAGGGATGGAGAGAGTGGAAGGAGAATGGGAAGGGAGGCTCGAATTCAAGTATGATATATTTGATATATTGAAAGAATTTTTGCAAATGACACAAATGTACTCCTACCCAGCACAATAAAAATCAAATAAAAATTTAAAGAAAACTAGAAAAAACATGTTATTCATTGTCTCCTTGCCCTGAGTCATTCTTTCTTCTTTAAGATTTATAGCTTTGGCTCCATGTTATTTCTCAAAAATGAAACAAAGCATAACAAAAGAAAACAATACTAACTCTTGTCATGATTCCTGGTGATTTTAGTGTTCATGTGGATGATACCTTAATAATGTGATGTGGCAGAGCATTTTCCAAAGATGATCACCACATTATTTTCTACCTTCCATGCTCTTCTGTACTATAAGATTCTTTCCATTCCCATAACAAGAGTTAGAGGCCAATCTCTCTTTTCTTCAGTCTAGGCTGGACTTAGGGATTCCTTGACAAATAACATTCAAGAAGTGACATATGGGGCTTCTGCTATTAGGGCATGAAATCTTTTTAGTTTCCACTTGGGTCTCTTAAAATGCTAATCTTAGTAGGCTACAATTGGACCCCAGCTACCATGCTATATGCATTCCAAGCAATACAGAGAAACTATAAATATTTTAGTGGATGGTTCTGACTGAGATCCTAGCCAACAGCCAATAACAGCCAGCTGTTAGTAAGTCATCTTGGTCATCCAGTCCAACTGAAACTCCAGATAGTTACAGCAGTATATGGAAAATAAGAAGCATATCTAATGGCAATAGTGCATTGGCCAAGGAGTTTCGAAGTAGAGTACTGAGAACACTAACACTCTTTTATGCCTCATATGATATGGTAAAAATAAAGAGATATGAGATAAAAATGAACTTGTCCAGTGTTCCAGCAGAATTTATAGTGAATACAAAGGAGTCATGGCCGACTAGATTCAAATAATAATGAACTCTTTTCACCTCCAGCGTCTGCAAATGATGAAAGACTTGGGTGTAGTGTCGTCTTTTGATGAGATTGTAAGAATCTTCTTTCTAAGAACAGAGAAATATTTAAAGGTGTACCTTATAAACATTTTCAATAGACGAATATGGTTCTAAGAATAGTAAGAATATTTCTGGGTAACACTGTAACTCTCAAGCAAAATCAGATAGTAGACAGCCTGAGAGATATTTGTGGATGCAACTTTTGTCTAATGAAGTGAAGCCTAAGATATTCATACCATATTCAGAGTTTTAAAAAGAAATGTATAGATGAAATCACCACAAAGTTCTACTTAAGGAGCATAGTCCTTTGCATAGCATTGCAAAGAAACAGACATCTTTGAGTCTCCAACTTCTTCAAGTAGGCAGCGGGATTAAAAAGCTACTCAAACATAATTTCTTATTGAAAAGCAAAATTTTCATAGAGTAGAGAACCAGTTGCCCAGAAGTTGTAGTCATTATAATCAGTCCCAGGCAGTAGAATTGAGTCCTTATTAAGAATATGGTGACACTCCTAGGGATATACCCAAAGGAATGTGACTCAGGTTATGCCAAAGGCACCTGCATATCCATGTTTGTTGCAGCATTAATCACAATAACCAAGCTATGGAAACAGCCAAGATCCTCCACTACAGTGAATGGATTAAGAAAATGTGGTATTTATACACAATGGAATTTTACTCAGCCACAAAGAAGAATGAAATTTTGTCATTCACAAGTAAATAGATGGAACTAGAGAACATCACCTTAAGAGAAGTTAGGAGGCTCAGAAGGCCAAATTCACATTCTCCCCTATATGAGGATTATAGACCTAAAACAAATGCAGTAATATTGTTGGACATAGGTCACACACTAAGGGGGAGAATGTGCATGGGAAGAAGAATAGGGAAAGGGAAGGAAACCTAAAACTTGAACGTGGTTGTTGTATCCACTGTAGAGGAGCAAAAACAGTAATCTTAAACTGGCAGAGGCCACTTTGGGAAAGGGACTAGGAAGCACTGAAGAGGTCTGACAGAGATGAACCAATAATACACATGTACGTGGAAGCAATGTTAGGAATCTCTCTGTATAGTTATCTTTATCTCAAACTAGCAAAAATGTTATGTCTTTCATACTATTGCTTATGTCTTCTCTTCAACAAAATCGGAGAACAAGAGGGCAAAACAGGTTCTGCCTGGAAGTGGTTGGGTAGGAGGGGTGACCCAAACCATGTATATACATATAAGCGAATGTAAAAATGATAAAAAAAAAACTTTTTAAGCCTATGTTCAAAGAATAAAAAAAAAATCGTGATATATTAAGCAAGTCATCGTTTTATGCCTCCCCTATTATTTTACCTGTAAGTATCTATTCTATCTTGATAGGATAGGATGGCCTTATTGATTTTAATGAAAAATGGATATTTTGATATGTTTAAGGGAAATGATATAAGAAATCTTGTAGGATGCTGACAGATGTACCGAGTAAGCTGCAGGGTTGAGTTTGGCACAGCCCCAAACTGCAGACAGGAGCAAGCATAGTTATGCCCAATAAATTGAACAGTTGAATTGGCACAGTCTCAGCTGCAGAAGTGGGCAAGATTCAGTACAGTTCCTTTTCCTTTAATGTTTACATTCAGAGAGAAGCTGTCACAGCTTCCTCCTGTTCCCAAGCATTACAATGTCACGCCCTCTCCCTGAGAATTGCCTCTCCATCTTGTGTTGCCACTGTATATAATAAACTCACTGAAAGTGGAAGCGGTGTGTCTCCATCTGAGCACGCAGCCTACCTGGCCCCAGCTTTATGCATATTTGGTCTTCTGTCTGTTGTCTTTTCTGCATCTCCCACTGCCTCCAATTAGGTTTATAGGACAAGCTCATGCAGGACACGAGAAAACCTTATAGATTTCTCGTTGCTATTTCAATATTTACTTTTGGGTTACTTTGTAGAGCACAGCCACTGTGCTATAAGAATCCAAGCCGCATGGGGAGTCATTAGCAGTCCTGGATGAGCTTTTAGTTACCAACAAGCACCTACTGCATCAATTCTTTTTTCTGTTTTGTTTTCTTTCTTTTTTTTTTTTTTTTGGTGGGACTATGATTTTAACTCAAGGCTATACACTTGCAAAGCATGTGCTCCACCACTTAAGACATACATACCTCCAGCCCTACCACACCAATTCCGACCAAGTTTAGAAATTGCCAAAACTCTATCAAAACTCTCACTGCAACCACTAATAGAGATAATCCAAGTGAGAAATGCCCATTTGATCCCAGTAAAGCTACAGGATCACAAAAGATGATAATAACTGGTTTTAAAACCACAACATTTGGGGGTAATTGTATGCAACAATAGGTAGCTGGGACAATTTGATTGTCAACACTCTGACCTTCCTTTCAAAGATCTGGACAATCCTACCTAGGCTACTTAAATCCATCCTTTAGAATTTGTATTTATACATATATGCCAATTATTGTTAATCAATATTATAAGCTCTGACCTATCATCTCTTATTTTCCAGATCTCTTTCTTTTGAATCCATATTAAACCATTTTTGAATTTCAAGATCAATAAAAAAATTGATCTTACTGTCTTTTGAATTTATTCATTGCCCTCACTTCTTGATTGTTCTCTTTGTCAGCATAAATATTGTGGTCCATTCTTAGAAACAATTTTTAAGACACAAACTTTCCCCTTTGTTTTCTTTCTCTTCCTAATATACGCTTTTGTTTTTAGCAACACAACAACTATATTTGATTTTAAATCTCACCAACTTGTGCCTATAGCCATGGGTTCATCAGTCCTCACATTATTTGTGAATTGTCACTGTTTACTCTCTATTGGATCTTTCCAGAACAATATAAACACTTAATA